CCCCCGCTTTTTTTTCGGAAGATATTTACTGATTAGAAAAATAACGAAATAAACCTAAACTTTTTTCGGTAATTATTATTATAATAATCCTTGATGTCTCAATTCGAATATACGAATCAAAACTTTATTTGGAAAGCCCCCAGAATCGGATCTGGACAATTGTGGAATGGGGTTGACGAAAATACTGTCGTGATCTGATAAACCGCAATTTTTTCTTTTTTGGTCGGAAAACTTTTTATACCACTAATGAATTCTACATGTCGACAGCCATCTTGAGATATCAATATGAAAGCTAACTGTGACTAGGTTTTTGAATAAATTAGCATTTTAGATTTGTTTATACGCATTTATTTCCAATGTGATTTGATGAAACACATTTTTTCCATAGATGATCCAATGAAACGCGTTTTTGTCTTTCGTATCGAACGTCCATAACAGTAACTGCGTATCGACGATCCATATTCAACTGTGATCTGGTGAAACGCTTTTTTTTGTCGATCTCGGGAAGAAAAATGTGTTTTATCAGAGCACTGGTGAATCTGGCAGGTCACAACTTCGTCTTTCGGTCCGTAGGTTCAAAAATGGTTAACGAGACGCAGAAAATAAATGCGTTTTATCACATCATTCTGGGATTAATGGGTGGACAATAAAACGCTTTTCTACAAGGGAGATCTGATAAAACGCATTCTTCTTATTTGTTTGTTTGTCTTTAGCTCAAATTCGATGAAATTTAGTTTAGTCATGGTACATTGGGATAATATCTTCATGTGGGAGAGTTAAAAAATCCAACAACATTGCTATTTGTTTAATTAGCAAAAAACACTAAATCGCGACTATCTCGAAACCTGGATTTTGAGAAAAATGCGTTTTATCAGATCACGGCAGAATATAAGGTAGCCTTACCGTACTGGCACAAGAAGTGACTGTCGAGAGTACACAGATGGTCATGCCAACCGAAATATTTTCGGGCATCCAGCACAACACAATGTTCTCCACCATAGTTGTTGTTCGGTTCTGAGCTTGCCCAGTTGCTATCTGAAGGCGAAAATGAACCAAAATTATTAGCTTAGGACTTCATGGAAGCAATCCTCACTAAACCGTTGTTCGGTTCTGACCTTGCCCAGGTGTTATCTGAAGGCGACAATGAACCAAAATCATTAGCTTAGGACTTCATGGAAGCAATCCTCACTAAACCGGTTATTCGGCTCAAGACTAAACCAGTTTGTATCCTTGAAGAAGAAATAAACCACCGCTAGGATATAACAGACGAAGTCAGCGCCAAAACGGTCATTCGATTCAAACCGTAACCATTTTTTTCTATTGGCAGAGTCTAAACTAATAATGATAATAATAATAATTTAATGGAGGGAAAAGAAATCAAATGAGGTGGTGCTTGAGGAAGCCCACGTGGGAAGCTCAATGTTAAAAACAATCAGGAAACGACAAATGCAGTTTTTGGGACACCTGAATAGACATAAGGGTCCTGAACATCTAG